CTGGATCCAAGGAGGGCGTTCAACAGTCCCTAGCTGGAGTCACAGCAGGGCCCAGCACCAAGTGGCAGCACTGGTACATGCAATGCTGGAGTCAGAATGAAAGACAGTGTGTTGGATCCTAGACTTCTAGGGGTAAGGATCCAAATCTGGGCAGGGTTAGGACTCTGGTCACATGACCTAGTGTTCAGGACTGGTTTCAGCTCCCAGTAGGAACTGGAGAGAAGCCCATAGCTAAAGTCCTGGCAAGTGGAATAAAGTAACACATGCGTGAGGGTTAAGGTGGCTGCCCTAGAGGTCCCTGCATGTCAAGAACGACACTTCTGTTACCACCAAGTCAATGCCACATGTAGTTAGAACCTAGCATCAACCCCCATGACTGATGGTGCCTGAGGAGAAAAAGGAAATAATCCATATCTCAAATTTATTATTTCTGACTCACAGGAAAATCTCCAGTCCTGAATTTAAATTACATTAAAATATGCGAACTCCACAAATAAAAAATAATATTATGATTGTTTCCCAACAAAATAAGAGAAAAAGCATAAAACTCCTCAAGAGAACAAATATTTTCATGAGTACCACAAATATTTAATATTATTTTCACTAACATACTTTCAGTTCCAAATCATTTGTTTAATTTATCAACAAACTACCCCCAAATAAAATAATGTAAAGGGTGAAAGCTAACTTCAAATTAAATTTTAGATAGACTATTGTTCAGATTTTCAATTTTGGTTTCTGAGAGCAAAATCTAAAGATGAATTCATTTCAGAGGTAAATAAAAAACTTGCTTTTAAAATAAAACAAAAGATTATCTCTGTATTTTAAAGTTGTTCATATTAATGCAACAAAAATCGATTATAAGGGATTTTTGTGGTATCCACGGCTATCACACTGAGCTACATTCTTGGTCTGTTTAAAAAAATATGATTATTTTTTGAATTTTGAGAGCGAGTCTGACTAAGTTACTAAGTTGCCCAGGGAGGGTTTTAACTTGTGATCCTCCTACCTCAGCCTCCCAGAGTGTTGGGAAGGTAAACACTTTTGTGTTGATAGACTCTATAAAAATGTAGTAAATTTCCTTTGATTAACTCTGAAGACCACGCAAGTGTCCAGCGTGCCCCATCTGTATTAATCTACTGGCCAGTGCTGCCGATCAGCAATGAACAAAATGCCGGCTTTCTCACATTGCTGAAAGAACTAACAGCGCGATTATCCAGGCAACCAGGGGGAAAAGGAATCGACGAACGAAACAAAGAACAGATTATATTATTTTCTTCTTTGAGAACAGATTTTTTTTAAACCTCATCTACAATTTAACCAAACAAAAGGATTAGAAGGAGAGGAATAGGAAATACCAGAAGAAAATTATTCTCTTTACCCACTTAGCCTCTAACAATAATTCTAGATCCGGTAACAAGAGTTTAAAAAATGACCAGCTTGCGGGGTGCCTATGGTCACAATTACAAAACCGTTGCAAAATCATTACACCGATCGATTCTTGACTGTTAAAGAAAGTTCTAGAGTTTTTATGAAAATTTTTGCCCCTTTGTACTGCGAGAACTCTAAGAACGGGGACAGGATCTACTCTGCCTCTTGCCCCATTTCCCACACAGAAGGGCCTGATGCTGCGTGCCGCTTTAAGCACATGCCATATGTTCCATCAGTGCGGGCTGGGTTACATGGACGCTCAGAAGTCACCCAGAGAAGCACTTAGTGGGTGCAGCCTTAATTAACTAACGACTTGGGGTGGGCTGAGGGGGTGGGGGTGGGAAACCCGAGAATCCAATCTAACCTTGATGTGCGAAACCTTCGCATTTGAAAGGTTTTACAGATATCAAAAAATAAACTTTACATAAAAACCCTGTGCAAATACAAATTTTATGTTGGGAAATCTTTCATAAACAGAAATCAGATGGCAACGTCCATACTATGCTTTTCAGACTGGCTAAACACACGGGTTATCGCTGTGTGTGCCGCCGCGAGCAGCATGTGTTCGGTTCCCACCGAGTGACACAGATTTCACAAAATAAGTATGATTAATTACATAAGTTGAATGGCTGATGTAAAAGTTCCTACAGCAAGCTCTCCCTTTGGTCATTTACACTCACTAAATATTATAAAACCCTTTAAAGACCATTTTAAAGAGGTCCCGCTACTGCAAGAGAGTTAAATATTTAAAGACAGAAGTAGGGAAATTATAGTTGGAGTGTGTGTTTGTAGAGTTAATATGCACAGAAGAATAAACTACAAGGGAAGGTGGTGTAAGGGATGTTTACAAGAATAGTGTATTATTATGAACAACAATAATATGTGTGATAGTAGTGACAGTGAACTAGAAAATACATTTCACTTTAAAATGGAGTCAGTTAATATAAAGACGCAAGTGTCAGCTTACGCCATGTCCCCCTTCTCCGGTCCAATTTTTCCTCGTTACACATTAACTTCAGAGTCTCTCCAGCTGACAAAATGTACTGACAAAATAACACCCAGATAACAGTCGTTACAGTTAGAAGAAGAGAGTGTGACACTGAGGGAAAAGCCTATTAAAATTACACCTTCTTAGAGATGATCCTAATTCTGCCTTTGTCTTGCTTTTCCCAAGCATTTTCAGTGGGGGAGAAAAGACATCAGCCCTTCTGGCTGTGATTTTGTAATCTCAGCATTTATCTATAAATGAGGACGCTGGAGTTTCTGAACCGCAGTACTAGGATTTAATTCTGTCTTTGGGTTGTGAGGACCCCGAACCTTCCACTGCAGCTGCTCCCCTGCTGCTGGGGCCTCAGGAGCGGAGGCCCAGCTGCTCTGCCTCAGTCACTGACCCAGCCCTGCTGTCTGCTCAGCCTCAACCAGAACCTCAGACCACACAGCCTGGACACAGGACCCGCTCTGTCGCCACGGACAGCCTTTGGAAGAAGCCACTGCCGTACCATGGGCCCACTAAGTCCAGGGCTTGGATCAGAGCCTCTGGAAATCACAAAGGCCTGCACATGCCCAGACATAAAAATCCTTCTATAACAAAGTGCTCAAGTAGTTTTTCAGGAAAGGTCTTCACAATCCACTCAAAGACGATTTGAAACCTGCTTTTCAAGAATGGACATGTGCAGAAGCAGCCAGCTATTGTAGTCAGTGACCTTTTGCTGTCTAAGCTCAAAATCCACTCCCCCCCAAATGATAATTCTGCCTGAAAAGAGACGTACAAAGAGGCATGATGACTACCTGCACACATGCCAGAGAACCTTAAAAATGTGTTGCCATCCAATCAACAAGCAACTCATCCTCTCTTGCGTCCTATAAATTCTCTGAATGGGAGAGAAATTTGCAGTTTTTAAAATCTCTTGTCTCCTTTTCTTTCTCCAGCACTGAGAATTAAGCCCCAGGGTCTTTACACTGAGATACAACCCCAGTCCTTTTAGATTTTTTTAAATTTTGAGACAGGGTCTCACTAAGTCTCAGCATTGCCAAGGCTGGGTTTGAGCCTTATATCCTCCAGCCTCAGCCTCTCAGAGCACTGAGATTACAGATGTACACCACCATGCCTGGCTCTCTTGTCTCCTTGATGGTTAGCTCTCAATAAAAAAGTAAAAAGCATTCTTTTGCAAATATCTCATGCCATAGTATTGGTTGCTGTGTGTCTTGGACACTAAGTCCTTGTACTGTCAATGCTCACCCAGTGTGGCTGAGTGGTGGGTGAGTCTCCTTGCCCAGGTCAGCTCTCATACTGCACTCAGGAAAGTGTGTGTTTGTGGAGAAAAATATACTATCCAATAGCTGGATCATAAAGACCTTACTTCTAGAGCCCAGTTGCTGGGCAGTCATGAGCAAACTCTCTGTCTTGGGATATTACTGATTTCCACCTGCCTATACTTCCTAATTTCTGAGAAGTAGAACTACCCTTAGAGGGAAATACTTTTCCTCAACTCCTGGCATTTCCTTCCCTGTGGAGTGGCTTCCACTGGGAGAATACCCTTGTCTCCCTCTCTCCTGCCTCACACCTCTGCAGGATGGGAGGAGTGACGCACCTGCGGGGTGTCACCACAAGAAGCTGACACTTCTCCTGAACATGTTTTGGAGCAAGGGTGCATGCAGAATGCATGATTCGGTTCTCCTGTCAAGTCCCATGGGTTAGAGAGACAGACTGTGTCCCCTACAGGGGAAGAAGAAGGAAGAAAGTGGGAACTTGCAACACAAATAAGGGGCATGGAAGACTACGCATGCAAGGGGTGAGCCTCTCTTGATGAAGTGCTATACACTGGCCTTTGGTATTACCAACGGGGTCCTAAGCTTTCTCGAAAATCAGCACAGGCAAGGAGCCATGCATAGTTACACAAGGTCCAATGCCCACCGATCATCTGCTCAGAGGAACACAACTGCTCCGATAGACAAGACCAGAAGAAAGTTCTCCATAGAACCATATTGGATGGTGCAGGGAGCAGCACCTCAGCCCTAGCTACACAAGGAGTCACCAGACAGTGAAGCTTTGAGAGCTCATTCTTAACATGTCTGTGATGTAGAGCAAAGGTACCACCATAGGTCTAGTGAGAAAGATTCTGAATTTTGGGGAGGGGGAAATGATGGGTAAAGAGGCAACTGCATATAATTCACATATGCCTGTTTCTGGGAGTGTGATTGAATCCAGCCCTTGACCTTAGCATCTTCCACCAGCAAATGGACTGGACACATGTGTGTCCTTCAGTAGGCTTCTGATAGAGGCTGGGGAATGAGTTAGAGAGTATCCTCAGAAGTGCTTGCAACACAGTTTCATGATTTTACCAAAGACAGACTCACTAAAGCATATTACTAATCTAAACGCATCCCCAAGCTGGGATGGCGGTGGCATCCTCTTGGGAAAACTGAGGGACCTAGCGAAGGCAGACTGGTTAGCAGCCGGAGCCCCATACACTGCCACTTTCTCCCAGGTGAGGACCAGGTGTGTGGAGACTGCGGGTGGAGTGAGGCTGACCGGGGGTTGCACGGGCAGGCACTGAAGCTGTTCTTACCACTTCTGGCTCTGGTTTTGGCATTTTTTTCAGTGATGTCCTGGATTTCTTACTTTTGATAGACTGTACACTCATGGAGGCAGAAACTGGCCTCAAAGATGTTGCACTCTTGGGCTGTGACTGCCACGGAGATACAGAGGGCTCTCTCTTCTTGGCTGATTTCAGGTTCTGGCACACACAAAAGAGTCAGCTTTGTTATTCTCACCTCCTTCCTCAGATTTGTGCCCCTTTTTGTCCTCCCCTTGTCTGCAATACCAGACTTGTAGTTTGCATGCCCAAAGGGCACGATCTGTTCTTGCTCCCAGGTTGCCCTGGGCTGATTTGATTGGCAGGCTGGGTTTACCTCCCCCTCTCCACTCTGATATTGGAGGAAAAACACACCAACAGGTCAGTGTTCTTTACAAGCACTGAGAAAAGTGTGGAGGGGAAGCAGTCTGAGGTTTCTGGGGTTCGTATCAACGTGGGAAGAAGGAAGCAGCAGGAATCTGCAGAGGCATGGCACCGCCCTAGGCGCAGTCCACCGGGATGACACACTCTGACGTCTGGCTTGCTCCCCTGGCTCATTCAGTGGCTCACATTTGTGCTTTTCCTTTCCTGCTCTTAGCAATCTTTCCCTCATGATCTCTCAATCACACTTCTGGCGTCACTTCCAGGCATTTCCTCTCTCAAACTCACACATCAGAGGATGCAAAGCCTCAGTATACTACATATTCTTCATCCCAGAAACCAAGGGAGGGAGAGAAAGGGAAGAGAAGAGGAGAAGGGAAGGGAGGGGAGGGGAGGTGAGCCAAGGAGGGAGGGGGGTAGGGAGAGACAGAGAGACAGAGAGACAGAGAGACAGAGAATGGGAGTACATACAAACCTTGGCATATGCTTCCATTTCTTCCTTGTGCTTAGTGACCTGTAAAATTCAAGACCCATGAAATTTTTTATTATTTGCAAATATCAAAAAGGAGAAAAAAAGGTTAAATTGTATTAACACGTGTCTGCGGTTCATAACGATGACATTCACGGGGGGAGCTGCTACAAGTGCACAACGCATCTTAATTCTTTTGACTTCCCCTTCCCTTCCACTCCCTCCAGCTCTTCCTTTTCTCATCTGTTTTCTAAAACCTCTAAGCAATGAAAGATAGCATTTAGAAAACATTTCACTGACAGAACTGTGAGGGAACATGAGTAATTATGTTAAATGTAAATTAAAAGAGAAGATAAATTTGTAATTAGGAGAACAGCACTTACAAAGAGGTGAACAGAAATATACAAAATTGTAAATTTTAAAAGTTGTTTGCATTTATTTACTGCTTTATGTGAGATTATAGAGAAACATGCAGTGTTTGCTTATGAAGTGATAATTTGTTTGATACATTATTATAATAGCTGTAAATTCCAAAGCCTTCTTATAATTTTTGAAGATATTTAAGGCAATACAAGAGTTAAACATTGATGATATAATAAAATTTTATTCTAAAAGTTCATTCTAATTTCCAGTCAGGAAAGCATTGTATCAAAAACACTGGCAATACATGCTGCACTAATATTAATATTTTTGATAATGCTATGAGGCTGACCTCATACTTAGTGATTCTAATTGTGACTAATCATATTTGAAATTAAACAATGATGAGAAGTGCATCTAACCATTAATCTCATTGACATCTGAATAATAACTGCAATGAATTTTCTAAATCTCTCTCAACTTGCCGAACAGAATTCAACAGAAAGATATCTCACAACATTGTGCAGTCTGGGAGGATAGTTACTGATACCCATTCAGGATTGTATTAAATAGTTTCAGTAGGTCTGAATCCAAGTCTAATATTAGAGTTAAGCTCCATTATAATTATTTAAAAATAATTTTCTCCATAAATCTTTTAAACTCTATTAGCAAAATGAATTAAGTATATAAAACATATTATAGATTATGACCAAGTAGAATTTTTCCTCAGGAATGCAGAAATGCTCTAATGTTAAATAAATAAAAGTATTTTAGCCTGTTACAGAATAAGGGAGAAAAAAATAATAATTTCCATATCTGAAGAACAAACATTTGATAATATTCAACAGTCTGTCTTGATAAAAACTAGGAATAGAAGGAAAGTTCCAAACTTTGACAAATGTTTGTAATAAAAAACTTATATCTTGTAGTGGGTTGATAACTGGTGGTCAACTTATAACCCCCAGCTGAACTGAGTGTGGTGCTGGGTGTGGGAGGCCCACCTGAGGACTGTTGCCTTCAGTATAAGAGGCAGACCTGGAGAAGAAGAAGCAGACTGTTGGGAGCTGAGAGAGACTGTGGGGAGCTGGCTTTCCTCATGAACTTGGCTGTTTTCATCCTCTGAGGAGCTCGGGACCTCGCTGGCACTGAGAATGGCTTCAGTTCACTTTGGAGAGCTCTGGTCCTCACTTTGAGCATAGCTGCCTGGTTCCAGAGAGGAAGATGGTGCACTGCCGGCCTCCTGGAAAAGCTTGCAGCATTGGTTTCCCTGATGGGAACTTGGCCATCCTGATCATCGGAGGAGCTCGGGACCTCACTGTTGCCGAGGATGGCTGTGGAACCTTTTGGGGGAACTCTGGTTCTTCCGAGCATCACTTCCTGGCTCCAGTGCAGATCCCTCAGCCTGCTAGCACAGATCCTTTTTCCTGCTGGCACAGACTTTGTAGATTCCACTACTGACTTTTGGGCCTTTCCAGCAGATCCATGAAACAGGTCTGCATGAGACGATGTCATGGGCTCTGGGCCTCCAGTTGGATTCATGGGAGGCATTGTTATGAGCTCTGGGTATCCACCTCAACTCATGTAGGACATTGTTGTGGGATCCAGGCCCTCAGCTGGATTCCTTGGTCTTAGTGTGTGGACAGATTTCCTGCACTCTTTTGTATACTGTTCTTTGGGTGACTTATAAATAATCATATAAAGTATGTGTCCTGTATTATGTTGTTCCCCTTGCAAAATAAGCCCCAAACCAATACATATCCCAATTATATTTAATCATGACATAATAAATGACATTCTCATAAGGTTGGAAATAAGGCAATAATACTTATTTTCACCACCGTTATTCAACATTGTATTAGAACTCTTAACCATTGCAGTAACATACTAAAAAGAAATAAAAGGGATGAAGATCAGAACAAATAAGTAAAATTTTAACTATTTACAGAAGACGTGACTATTTACAAGGAAAATCCTAAAGAATCTATAAAATTATGACTATAACTAACACATTAACCTTGCAAGGATGAAGGATAAAACTTTAATATAACAGTCAATTGTATTTTTATATATAAGTACTAAACTACTAGAAATAAAATCTAAAAACAATTCCATTTACAACAATATCAAAAATATAAAATACCTGGGACTAACAAAATATGCAAGACTTCTCACTAAAAATAACAATATATTGCTAACATAAAGAGGACCTACGTGAATGGAGATGTATACTACGCTTTGGATTGGATGACTTAGTCTAGAATATATTAACATGTTAATCCCTTCAAATTGATGTATAGATTTATTACAATCATAATCACAGTATGATTATAATAAATTATAATCACAGTATAATTGTAAAAATATTTATAAATGATTGTAAAATTTTTTTTGTAAACATGAACAAGTTATTTCTAAAAGCTACATGGAGAAAACAGAGAATCTAGAATTTTCAGTATGATTTTGAAAAACAACAAAATTGAAAGAGTTACTGTATTTGATGTTAAGATTTATATAAAGCTGTAGTATAATAACCTCAAAATATACCCGTTTGATTTTTAATGAAGGTTCCAAAGTGATCAATTCAATGGAGAAAGAAAGTTATTTCAACAAATGGCATTGAAATAAATGGATATCCGTTTGGAAAAAATATGAAATTTGATCCCTATCTCCTACCATACACAAAATTTAATTTAATGTGAATTATATTCCTAAATGAAAAAGCTAAAATCATAAAAGTTTAGACAACATAAAGGAATATCTTTTTTACTTCTGAGGATACAAAGGTTTCTGAACATATATAAAGCAATAGCCATAAAAGAAAATAAGTGATAAATTAGACTTTATTTTATTTTATTTTTTTGGTTTTTCTCTGGTACCAGGAACCGAACTCACAACCTTGGGTTTGCCAGGCAGGCGCTTTTGCTGCTGAGCTAAATCCCCAGCCCTGAATTAGACTTTAAAATAAAAACTTGTCTGGGGATTTAACTCAGCAGCAACATCTTGCAAAACTATTTTATAACACTGCAATCAGGGTTTTTGACATTGATACAATCCACCAACTTTATTCATATTTCCCTAGTGTGCCTGTGCATTTGGGTGTGTGTTAAGTTCTATACAATTTGAGCACATGTATAGGTTTGCATCTGTGCCATCACAGAGAAGATGAAAAACAATCCCATTACCACAAAGACCTTTCAGGTTGTTATTTTACACCCACACCCATCTCACTTATTGTGCCCTTCTTTGGCATCCTTAACCCTGGAAACCCTTACCTTGTTCTCCTTTCTAAAATTCTGTCTTCTCAAAAGTGTTATATAAATGGAGCATGTAAGAAGTATATATGTAACTTTTGGAGGTGGGCTTTGCATGCAACAAAATTCTCTTCAGATTCATCCAAATTAATGCCTGTATCATTAATTTATTCCTGATCATTACTAAGTTGTGTTGTGTAGTATGGACTTAACAGTTTGCTTAATCATCATCTGCTGAAATATTTGGAGGTCTTCTAGCATTTGATTGCTATAAGTAAAACTGATTCAAATATGTGGGGGTTTTGGTGTGATATGAGGTGTGATCAAAATATATGAGTGACTAAATTGTAAAAATTTATTAAAATTAAAGACACATTTGTCATTAACTCCCCTCAAAATACTCCTCACTTCAGACATACTTATCCCAAACACATTTATCCCTCCTTCTAAAGTAGGTCTTGCATTCCTCTTTCATGAGTATCTTTAGATGTGCTGCTGTGGGTGCCTTGCTGTTCTGAATAAATTCCAAATGTTTACCTTTCATGACCCTTTTAACTTTGGGGAAGAGTGGAAATCACACAGTGCCAGATCCAGTGCATAAAGTGGGTGAAGATGTGCTGGGTTGTGTCTGTCTTTCTATTGGGTGGCACTTGCCAGAAGCATTCACTATATTTTTTTATCACATCTTGTAAAGATCCTCAGGAAAGAGGACTTTCAGAACTGCTCCAGAAAAAGTGAGTGGAAGTATTTTGAGGGGGATTAGTGGCAATGTGTCTTGTACTGTAATACTTGTAATACTGCTGAGTCACTTAGGTAAACTTCTAAACCTCTCAATTTGACACAATGAATCAACCAGTACAACCTCCTAGAGCATAAACAGCCACTCTAGGGCATGTCCTCTACACCCTAGGATGTAGAACTGCTGAGTCACTCAGTTAAACTTCTAAACTTCTCAAATTGACACAATGTATCAACCACTACAGGTCCCTATGCACTTCTCTGAAGCAAGAGCATTTAATTTTGATGCAGTTTGCTATGGACTGAAAGTTTATGTCCCTTTAAAGTTAATATGCTGATATATACTCCCAGTATCAATGTAATGGTATTAGGAGACAAGGCCTTTTGGAAGTAACTAGGTCTAGATTAAGTCATGCAGGCAGAACCCTTATGATAGGATTGGTGCCTTTACTGGAAGAGGAATTTCTCTCTCCCCTCTCTGTCTCTTCTTTCTCTGGGTATCTGTCTGTCTCTGTCTGTCTGTCTGTCTCTCTGTGTCTGTGTCTGTCTGTCTGCCCATCTCTTTCTTTTTCTCCAGAAGAAAGGACAGGTGAGCACAAAGTGAGGAGACAGCTGTCTGCAACCAAGGAACTGGGCCTTTTAGGACTCTAAATATGTCTTTTTTTTTTTTTTTTTGTCTTTTTGAAACAGGGTCTC